TGGGGGGGGGGAGAGAGAGAGAGAGAGGAGGAGGAGGAGGAGGAGGAGGAGGAGGGACTGAGAATGTGGAATTGGATGGCCATGAAGAGTTTTTAAAGTCAAGACAAGCAGCATAATATGTTCTCAGACAATGCAACAGAAATGCGTAAGGAATAAGGAATGTAAGGTAAAGAAATGGGGGAGAGCTTTGTTCAGCTCTGGAACAATTCCACTCCTGCTGTTTGAGTACCACACACCCTTCATCTTACAGACATGCATTTGTGATCCTGATGGGGAAAATGTGTGGGTATGATCACAATTAAAAAAGTAATTATGGATCCAACTTTGGAAATGAGATACTTTGCTGACAATATCAGACTGGGAAACCAAAGTTGGGGAACACAGAGCAATGGCAAAATTAACAGTTTATACATCCAAAACAGAAGTTTGACTAAATTTAAGCAAGAATGACTTCCCTACATACAGTATTACGTATCACACAACAAGGCAAATTTAGATACTTAGTGAACATTTTAAAGGGGGAAACATGTGATGTAGAGATAGTCACCAGAAGCAATGTTAACATTTAGAAATATTTTGATGTTGAGTACAATGGGACAGAATTAAGAACTCAATACACTTTTTACTGTGCTTAAAACATTTTTAAAATTTTATTATTAATTTTTCACTTTTCACTTTTCTTTTTTCCTTTTTTCCCCTTTTTGTTTTGTTTTTTTACAAATCATGTGCAGTTATAATGACAATAGGAAATGAAAAAAGGAAAAAAGAAAAGTGAAAAATGAAAAATTAGTAATAAAATAAAAAATAATTTTAAGCATCAGTAAAAAGAGTATTGAGTTCTAAATTCTCAATTAATATTTATTGATATAAATATTAATTAGAGTTTTATAATGATTTTCAATTATTTCTTTAAATGATGTACAGTAATGAGTCTTACATATTCAATTAATTATTTAATGAAATAATGAATGTTAAAATTTATAATTTTAAATTCTCTGTTTATTCACCAATACTTTATCTTCCATCCACTATGTACTTTTTTTATTTTCTTCTTTTTTCTTTCATGCAGAAAGAAATGAGAGACATTTCTCATTAAATGTTTTAAAATCAATTTAATTTTTTTGTAAAGAAAAAATTAATTATGGGTCAGGAAAGTATTCAACACTTCCTCCCTTCAGCTGGTATTCTGTTTCATACAGTTAGTCCTTGCTTAATGACGGTAATTGGGACTGGAATTTCTGTCACTAAGCTATGTGGTTGTAAAGCGTGATGTCACGTGACTGCACTGCTTAGCAACAGCACTTCTGGCACTTCCCGTTGCCACTGTTAAGTGAATCCCATGACATCGTTGAGGGTGACATCACATGGTCACATTTGCTAACTCCTGCTGGCTTCCCCATTGACTATGCTTGTTGGAAGCTGGCAGTGAAGGTCGCAAATGAAGATCACATAACCGTGGGATGCTGCAATGTTGTAATTGCGAGCCAGTTGCCAAGCACCCAGATTGCAAACTCTGGTGATGCTGCTGTAATAGCCACAATTAGTTGGTGGTGATACTGCAATAGCCACAACTAGGAGGACCGATCATAAGTACCACTTGTTCAGCACCGTTGTAAGTTCAAACAGTCGTTGAACAAGTAGTTGTTAAATGAAGACTATCAGTATTGCCATCTCCAATACTTATTTTTTTAAAAAATTAAGAAAGAAAAGGAGTCAAATGTTCCCATCAGCTGAAATGAAGGGAACACTTATTGCTTTCTTTGCCCAAAGGGCACGAAATGTGCTACCTAGGAAAAACAGCCTCCTCTCTCCATTTTAGCAGAGCAACCCTCTAAATCAGGGTTCCCTAAACTCTTTAGCTCATAGACTCCTTCACGAAGCTTCAGATTGTTCATTGACCTCTAAACAGTTATTATATGAAAATGATTTAATAAATACTACTTTAGTTAATAGTACTACAAATCATTATCATCACAGATAGTCCCATCAACCCTTGGAGAACCCTGCAATGTTATCTCTCAATGTAACATGATCTGTTTGGGGTTTTGCAGTGTGTTCCGACAGAAGCAGAATATAGAGCTTATAAGGATTACTATGGAGAACCAGGCTATCCTTAAAAGGCTCAAAGAACGAAAGGCAACCTATGACATGAAGCAATGTGAACAGTCTTGGCAGGCAAGTGCGTCTTTCACCATGGTTTCCAAGGCTCAGCCTTCCATGTTTCTCCAGCTGGAGCAATTTAAGAGTTTGAAGGCCCTTGTTGGTGTAACAGCAGCCTTCTCCAACCTGGTGTCCTCTGTATGAGTCAGACATCAATTCCCATCATCCCCAGCTATCTGGAGGATGCCATGTTGCAAACCACAGACACCTAAGAATATTCTCACAAGTGAAATGATGGGGGTCAGTAGTATAGCAAGTTTAATAAATAAAACTAGGAAAGAGTTTTAAAAGAGCATAAAAGATAGGATCTTTTCCTTCTGTGGCATTGCGCTCACCCAATTTGCTTCTTCCACCCACCCCAGTCTGAAAATTGACAACATACAGGAAAAAAGACAGACTGTAACCTCATGCTGTGATCTGTGTTTGGCAGCTGAGCCAATTTATTTCTGGTTCCACTGAGGAGGTCTTTGAAACCGAAGTAAAACTAATATTTTCTTTGAAATATTATGGCTGTGTAGAAGTGGGCAATCTGTTTCTCCATTTGCAGGAATATTTGTGTCACCTCACCTTCTAGCTCCTGAGCAGGAAGAGCAAGCAGGTCCTAGCAGGCCTCTCAAGGGGAAGGGTGACTTGATGGCTTTGCAGAATCCCATCACAAGCACAAATTATTTTGCAACTGACCAGACAAATGCCCACAGACTGAAATAAGGAGGGCAGGGCAGTGATTTAGTGACTCCTTTGCTCTTAAGTGTTCTGAAACTGGCTGAAGCGTCTTTACCCTTCTTTTGACGAACTAGGGGATGGAACAATAGAGTTGTAAATGTGCCCTTAAACTAGGGCATTGGTGCAAGCTGAAGCAGCATTAAATTCTCCCCTCCTAAAAGCAATCGCATTGAAGCTAGAAAATAAGCTGAACCTAGGACTTTGATTTAAAGTTTAATCTCTACATATCCAAGAAACAAAAATAGACTTCTTCTAGCCTCATCAGCACTGTAATTCCCTTCCAGCATTTGAGAATGCCATTGTTTGGGATGGGGGAAGAAGGAGAGGTAGGGAGGGGCAATTTCTGAAGTTCTTACGTAGGAGGCAAATGTTCTTACTCTGTTATTAGCAGCAAGGGAGGTACAGGGTTTGCATCCTCCATGTCACCTTGGAACTTTCTCCCCTCCTTCTTAGTCTTGTTAGGGTAGAGTGCTGCCAACTTAAATTTCATTGTTGCAGGAATTAAAATTGCTTCCCAGAGTCAAGCAACTTCTCCTTAATGTCAACAAGCCTCCCACAGACCAAGATGAAGGCAGATGGCCCAGCTGCAACTTTTATCTTAGGGAAAGGAGGAACGATTGCTGCCTCTTTGTTTCTCGTGTGAGAAACAGAGACTGGAGTTGCTTTGTTATCACAGATTTTGTCTGGAACTTCAAAGCAGTGTTTGCATGACATACTTCCCAATGGTTACTTTAAACATGGTTTACTTGTTTGACCCAATTTTCTGGGTTTGGATGTCATCCTAGACTAAGATGTGGTTGGTTGGCCAATTTGTGAATCAATGTATCATGTAAAGACAGCCCAATTCTAGTCTTCCTTCCAGATCTAGGACACTCTGTATCTGATCTCAACATTTGTGCTTGATCCTACTTTGCTGACGTTCTTCCCTTCTATGTAAAGCTGATCTGCTTAATAAATGTCATAGAGAACTGCTAGTCAACCCTTCCATTCTTTAATGGGTAACTTAGTTGAGTTCTGAAATTTTAATATTTGCTTTCAGCCTGCCACCCCAACGCCCCCGCAAAAGGAAGCCATCTTTGTGGGAAATTATCAAGAATCTTTCCTTGCCTAAGAGAACACTTGTTGTCACTGATTGCAATTGGTCATGGGGAAGGAGACAATATGTTGGGTGTGTTGGTATAATAAGCTTCTGGTGACCCACTCAGCACAATTATCCTATGTATCTATGAGAATGCATCCAATTCCCATTTAACCCACAGCTTTACTGGGTACCATTCCAGAGTTTCATAACAGTCTAAAATAAGTTCATAGTTTCATAGCAAGGGCAAGATGAAGGGGATTAACTTATGGTACAATAGAAATGCAAATGAAGATCCTTCTAGCTTAAAAACAGGTGCTATTTGCCAAAGAGACAGCCAGTTTTGTGTAGTGGTTAAGGCATCAAGCTAGAAAGTGGGAGACCATGAGTTCTAATCTTGACTTAGGCACAAAACCAGCTGAGTGACCTTGGACCAGTCACCCTCTCTCACCCCTAGGAAGGAGCCAAGGGCAAACCACTTCTGAAATCTTGCCAAGAAAACTGCAGGACTAGTCCAGGCAGTTGCCAGGAGTCAAGACTGACTCGAAGGCACCAAAAAGAAAAAAAAATGGCTAAAATTGATGCAAGATAGTCAGAAATGGTAAGGTGAACGTTATGATTTTCAGCTGTTGTCCCACGCTATGGAGGCATCATCATCACCTTTTCTTTGGCTGTGTCTTCTTCTGCAGAATTCCAGGAAATATATGAAGAAGAACACTCATCTTCTGAATGAAGAGTAAGTATAAAACACGACCTAGACCAAGATCCTTGGGACAGGTGTGTGTGTGTCTGTGTGTCTGTGTGTATTTGTAAGATGGATAGACTGTAGGACAGGAGAGTCTGTGCCTTGCCAGATTCCCTGCACCAGCCCTTTTCTTCAATAACAACAACAAAAATAGGGAAGTTGGTGCATTGCTAAGAAAAATACTATCCCCTAGCATCCCTTTATTTATTTCCAAGAACGCTTCTGCATGCCTCTCCCCAGGCCCCCTCGGAGAAGAGAAGGGATGGTGGGGAGCTGGTAGCAGGGCTTCTTCAGAAGTGTGCTGTCCTGCCCCTCCCAATGAACAGTGGGAAGCTTGAGGGGATGTGGGCGAAGGGAGCCGGGAACCAGCCTCCAGTTCAGCTGCTGGTGTTGGGATACGTCTGCCTGGCCACCCCTGTAGGTCTGACCACATGCTGCCCACTACAGCAGCTCTTTTGGGGAAGCATTGACAACATCCGCTCAAAAGATTCGTTTTCCATTCATTTTTGTTTTACTTTCTCCCAAATCAGAGAGAGGCATAAAAATGTCATCATTATGAGTGTTTTCTCTCAAAAATTCAGGATCCGAAATTGCTGATCTTTCAGCAAATGGTTGGGATCGAGGGTAGGGAGGGGGGAGATCTGTACGCGGTGTAGATTTTCTATCCCAAATCTGTAAAAGCGGATAGTGTGGGATTTTTAAGAACACATTGTGGATGCACTCCCAAAATGATTACTAGCAGTTGGAGCAGTGTTTTTCAATCTTAGCAACTTGAAGATGTGTGGACTTCAA